TCAGCAGGATTCACATCTCCCAGTTAGGTGTAAGCCCGTACTTACAGCAGTAGGCTGGAAAGGCAGCTGCATGAATATAGATTGTTTCATTATTTGCTCCTGCTCTTGAATTTTCCATCCCAGAAATTGGCACATAAGCCCTTTTTATGACCATGGGTGCTGCTTATTTTTGCTCCAGTATTTCCAGGACTGGTTTCTGACCTCTCTCACTGAGCTGTGCAAGGAGGGTAAATTCACTGCTACCCACAGAGTTACAGCTTGCTGAATTCAGGACTGAAATAAGCTGCTTTCTCCCGCTCCATAAAATTGCCCCCGTCCCACCTACAGTCTCCTAGTAGGTGGATGAAGAGGCAGTCAGGAGGCTGGTAGGTAGTCTGGGTGACTACCCACAACATGGGAATGTCTCCTACGGATCCCAGGGTGTCATCTAAGTCCAAAATTTTAAAATAAAAGACACAAGTAACAAGATTTTCCGAACTATAAAAGTACCCAGGTTCCACTTATTACAATGGCTGTTAGGTACTTTTCAAAATCCCACTGAGCACCTAAATGCCATAACAAATCTGACCCTTAATCTTGGTTCTTAGTTCTGCAACAGAGGTAATAGCACTTCCCAACTCCACAGGGAGGAGGAAAAGATAAATATATTAGTGGTTGTGAAGCAGTTACATACTGTAATAACCGAGGCCAGGTAAGTACCATAGCCAGAGATAGACGGCTGGCAGATGGATAACTGATCTTTCCAAAGCTGCAATATTAGCCTCTTACCTTCATCAAAAATACTGTTAGTCTTGTCCTCCCACGGAGCACGCTCAGCCTGCATATCAATGTGCGAGGTGATGTATGCAGGGGAAGCCTTTCTGCAGCTCACCGTGCTTAATGGACAGTGTTAAATGTGCCTCTTAAGCTCTTTTGTGCAAACCTATCGCCAAAGCGTCCCACATTTTAAAGAGAGGTGATGGCATGTGTGTATCTCACAGTGAACCCCTCTCCTGCTATGGCTGGAAATTTTGCGCTCCTGGGAATCAACAAGAGAGCAAAATTTTCAGTGCCATCCCTGCTTTGCTTTGAAAATTTCAGCAATAATTTAAAGGAGGTCAGCACATGAGTTTGTATTGTGGTTCCAGCGAATGTCATTCTCTTGGAAAGATCATTACTTACCCAGATTTCTAGTTTTCATTTCCTTCATCATAAACAGTCACATTAATCACTCCAGCAGCACGGATTATATTTCCTTTTTGTCCCTCTCCTCTCCCCCTCCAGGATAATGCATCATTTTCCTTACTGTTACTAACAGCCTTTTGAATTTGGGGAGAAGTGAGGATCTTGAGATGCGAAGGCAGTACCACGAGCAGCTAGGGACTGCTGACGTGCTTCCAATAAAGTGGACATAATTTCCTTAAAAAAATAAACTTTAATGTGAATAGTTCAGGGGAAAAATTAGTCACCTGGGTTCAGCATTGATGCAAACTGGACTGGGCAAATAGAGGCCGATTCCTGGGAGCCCATCAGCCTGTGGAGAAGGACCGGGAGGGAAGTGACCCGATCTGCACCTCCACGGGGAAGGGCTGGTACCAAAGGCTGTAGCACAGTAGAGGGATGATCCTCATCATGTGAAAGGAGCTAACGTGAGCTGGGGACCTACCACTTCCACTTTTAAAAGAATTTTTTGACAAGGAATGGCCCCAAGCTTCAGAATTCCTTGCCACCAGCAGGGGATTTTTCTGTATGGGGCACAAGGTTTGCTTGCAGTATGGAAATGGAAAGAGAAGTTTACTCTCAGGAGGTGAGGAGCATATGATGCAGCAGTGTGGTAGCATGAGCTAATTTAATTTTGCTTAGAAACCTCTGGACTGAGAATAGAGCATGTATTACTGAAGCTGTAGCCCATTATTTCTAATGGCTCTAATTATTTCTTATGGTATCCATCTGACCAGCTATAAGATTTCACATTGAGCATAAAATTAGCCAGTGTTACCACTGCGCCTGCTTACATCTCATACAATTGGTAAATTATGCTAGCAAGTAAACACAGAGCTCCATCAGTTTGCCGGTAATGAACCAGTATCTGAGGTTGAAATTTGTTTTCAGTTCTAACTCCCTTGTTTCAATGAAATCAATGGGATCACCCATTCGCAGTGACTTACACTTCCGTCTCCATTATTTGTGTGTTTTGTTATATATATCTATTCATAGAAGAAAACACTCTACTTTTCTCTATACTTTTCTCCCTATTAACTGGAAGTTAGTTAGTTTTTACTGAATTGCAAAGAAATTTATTTTGTATTTCTAGAATGCTTTTAATTTTTTTTTTTTTTTTTAATTTGTCTTAACTTTGCTTGTATCAGAACAGAAAAAGTT